GGGTACAGGAAAACTGGTGACTGCACGAATTTTCTCCGGGTCTAGCTGCACACCAGATGCGTCGACAAGGTGACCAAACACTGTAATTTGCCGGTGTCGGAAGTGGCACGTCGATGAGTTTAATTGAAGGCCTGCAGTGCGGAATATGTCGAGAATAGCTGACAAATGCTGAAGGTGGGTCTCAAATGTTGGGGAATATACAACAACATCGTCAAGATAACAGAGACATGTTGACCATTTGAACTCTTGTAGCAGAGAGTCTATCATGCGCTCGAACGTGGCTGGGGCGTTGCATAGCCCAAACGGCATGACCTTCTGGAGTTACAAATAGGCCATCTGGAGTTACAAATGCAGTCTTCTCCTGGACTTTTTCGTCGACAGCAATCTGCCAGTAGCTGGAACGTAGGTCTATTGAAGAAAAGTATCGGGCGACATGAAGACAATCGAGAGAGTCATTGATGCGGGTAAAGGGTAAACGTCCATTTTCGTGACTTATTCAGATGGCGGTAATCTACGCAGAAGCGCCACATGCCATCTTTCTTTTTAGCGAGCACAACGGGAGACGCCCAAGGGCTCGAAGAGGGTTCAATGATTCCTTTGGCTAACATCTTGGTAACTTCTTGTTGAATTATTTTACGCTCGGTGGCAGACACCCGGTATGGTCGCCGATGAATGGGTTGAGAATCACCTGTGTTAATGCAGTACTTGACGAGTGAAGTCTGGCCAAGCGGACGGCTATGTCGAATATGTCGCGGTATGAAGCCAGAAGGTGGCAGAGCGCAGCTCACTTCTCAGGTTCGCGGTCCGGGGCGATCATGGAGCGTAAGGTTGCATCCAGGCACGTGGCATCCTGCGAGTGACGTGGGTGATCGGAACATACGTCTGCCGCAAAATAAGTGACGTGGTCGTCAATTGAGGGTCTTAGCGTGGCGACGGATATTCCTTGAGGTAGCACTTGTTTTATAAAACCGATATTGATGACAGGTAAATATGTTCGGTTAGAGGCCATGGTTACGACGGAGTGAGGGACAGTAATGTCATGCGCCAGGAGAACATCAGGAATAGGCGTCATGATATAATTACTGTTGGGCATGGGAGAGTGTGTTGCCAATTCAGCGAATGTGAGAGCTTTAGGTAGTATCCGGAAGAAGTCTGGTGCACAGGCTGTTCGGGAGTTCAGGGTGAGAATTCAGGAGAAGAGAGTGCCGGCGGAACAGTGAATCAGGGCAGAATGCATCGATAAGAAGTCCATCCCGAAGATGACGTCATGAGGGCAACTGTCGAGCACGGTAAATAAAACAGGAACATGGCGGCCGGCAAGGCTAATACGAGCGGTACACATTCCATTGACGGCTACAGTTCCACCATCGGCGACATGGATGGCTTGTGTTGCGGCAGGCGTGAGCACTTTTTTGAGGCGACGACACAGACGAGCACTCGTTATAGTAGACACTTGAGCTCCAGTGTCAACTAAAGCCGTCAAAGAATGACCGTCCACATGCACTTCCAGCAAGTTCTTATTAGTAGGTAGCGTCAACGAAGGATTTGGGTCAGTCGCACTTGATGCAGCACTATCTCCAGGAGCTGCATAATCTAGTTTTCCATCCGGGAAGATCCATAGTTAGTCGGCGATGGATAGCGGCGGGGTTGGGGCGACGGAGAACGGCGGCGTTGCGGTGACGGTGAACGCGCGGTAGAGCGGCTGTTAGGTGCGTCGGGAGCAGGATACTCACGGCTGGGCGAATACCGACGGGAGTCCGCGTATGGCCGAGGAGAAGAAGAAAATTGGCTCCAACGGGGGGGCGTCCAAGTGCTGCGGCAGTAGCGGGAGACATGGCCAACTCGGTGACAGCGGAAGCAGATTGGCTTGTTGTCTGCTGTTCTCCACTCCATCGCATTGCATGATCTGGGCAGAGTGTATGGGTCGTGGCGTGGTGCATTTATTGGCATCGGTCTGTAAGTCCGTTCGGAAGACGGAGCAGGCGACAGGAAAACCAAGGTTAGCAATTTCTTGCCGCACGACTGCCTGAATAACTGACACCGCCGGAGGTGTTTGCACGGTGCCCTGGTCGAGTGGAAGTGCATGAAACGGCGCCGGACGGGCCGCCTCAAGCTCGCGCCGAATGATGCGTGTGACATTCTCGTGCAAGGGTGGTGTGGCACCGAGATCGGTACAAGTTGACGTGACAGTTGTGTTAGGGAGCCGTGAAAATTGAAGCCGAACTCGGCGGTTTTTGGCCATTTAGAAGCGGCGGCATTCCTTAATTATGATATCGACGGTCGTGACGTTGTACACGAGCAAGTTGAAAGCGTCGTCCGCCATGCCCTTCAGTATAGGGCCCACCTTGTCGCTCTCCGTCATTTGCTCGTACACTTTGCGGCACAACGCGAGCACGTCCTGTATGTACGAGACCTACGACTCGGTTGATGACTGTACTCAAATGGTGAGTTCTTGTCGTGCGGTCGTTTGTCGACCGGATGGGTCCCCAAAGATGTCGCATAGTCGGTCCTTGAAGATGTCCCAGCTGGTGAGCTCGGCCTCATGAGCGCCTAACTATACACGCGGGGTGCCATCCAAGTAAAAGATTACGTTGGCGAGCATCATGGTTGGGTCCCATCGGTGAGACAGGCTAACGCGCTCGTACATGCGGAGCCAGTAGTCGACGCCAAGGCCAGGCTGGGCGGAGAACGTACCAAGATCACGGGGGTGGGACATCGTAAGGTACGTAGTAGCTGGCGCTCCAGGTGATAGCGGTGAGGGGGTGTTATCATTAGAAGCCATGACCGGAGGCTGGACGGTGCGGCCACTGCGGAGCTTCGTGGTGAGGACGGGGAACGTTCCACCTCTACCAAATATGTTACGGAAAAGAGACGCCGTATCGACGAGGCTGTGGATGAAATATATTTCAAACCAGCAGCAGCAGCGGCGCGACCGGAGACCACCCTTCGTCTTCCTCGTCAGGCACACACGCGCGTCGCCCCCTAGAATCTCAATTTGCATGCGTGTAGCAATATCATTTCTTGAGCCTTTCTATTTCTTCTCCACTTACTCAATGTGTAAAATCTCATTGACACATCTCATTAAACAGGGTACTGACGACTTTACGCACAGAACTGACAGTGTTTATGGCATTTTGCTTATGTGCATGAAGTAATGCTGTGTGGGCATGGGGTTGGAGCCAAAGGAAGTAAATGAAAATAAAGTGTGTGTTTATTTCATTCAAATCATAGCAGAGAGAAAGCGTTTCCCTGCTTATGTCAATATTGTAGCCTTGTCATCAGTAGTCCACAAGTCCAAAATGCCATTGGGAAATCTTGGCAGATCCACACTTGCAATAGCATAGCTGTTCTGTTACTGGGCTCATTATCATCGATAGGCCTTGTGCTTTATCGATCTGGCTTGTCTTGACAACTGGATGCTCCAATCTGATTTTGCCTCTCGCAAAACCAGATCTATCAGGGGAGGGTGGGAGTGAAGGGTGGTGGTCTATAGGGGCTCAAGCTCAGTAGGGGCTCAAGATAGGGGCTCAAGATGTGGAAACTGAGGATGTACCGTACATTACCTTTGCACTAATCACGCGTTGTCGACAGAAGCCAGTAAAAGATGTGAAAATCGCGAAAGAAATTCTCACTTTAAGGAACTCATGTGTTGGCCTCCTCTTACTGTGAAGTGATAAAAATAAGAAACACTTGCAACACTGTAAGCAATTAAATAGCAACACAGAGTTTGCATGCGCTTTTTGTAAGTTTCTTTATTTAGACTACATGCATGCATAAGATGCTTGATTTCATGTATATCTTCATGATCGTTACTTTTCCCGTTGAAATCGGCACATTGTCTTCTGTTTTTTGCCTGTGTGAATTGCGTGTGCAGATTTTTTTTTTTTTTTTTTTGCAAGAGACATTGACCAACACACTAATCAGCCATTCCCATTCAGGTTGCATGCCTGCCTATCTTTTGAAGGCTGTTTATACTCTGCTGACACTGTGCGAGCGACAAAGCAAGTAGCTTTCTTGAAAGCTACGATGCACCAAGGCAGTGACGCAGTTTTAACAGAGGGCTTGTTGCATGGCACCTGCCACTTTGAGGTCTTACACTTGTCACCTATCAAGGAACATTGTCAGAAATGCGGCTTGTTGGTGGTCGAGGCTCCTGGAACATGTCGGCAAAACATTAAAGTGCAGAATGCAGCAGGGAATTCACAATTAGGTTTCTATGTCAGCTTGAGTTAGCTTACTTTTCTCTAGACTTATTGTGCCTGGCTATGCCATAGGAGGGAAGGTGCAGCCATTGACTAATTTCAGCATTAGTGGGCTTCCTAGTTATTGTGACTGCCTTCACATACCCAAGCCATGCTTTGTATTGCTAGAATTACATGCAATGTGGTAATGTCGTAGTGAGGTCGGTCACTTACAATAGCGTGCTTGCGATCACACTAAAAGTGAGCATACACTTTTGTAGGTAAAAAAGAAAAAAACGCGCTGCTAAGCTCCTTATTGGTTTGTCCTCCCCCTCCTGTGTCGCTTTCAGCGTGCTGGTATGAAGGAGAGAGAAAGCATGTATGTAACAAATCACTGTAATTCTGCTCATCCTTGACAGCCCAAAAAATTTGTGTGAAAGTCTATTTCTGAAGAAATTAACTGTCATTTCAAGGTTCTTCACTACTTACCTGGAAAAAGTATTGCAGGGCCTTTATAAAGTACATCCTATGTGCGGGGCAATGACGTTGATGAGGTCATTCTTGCCATGAAGGAAATCAGTTAATCACTCACCACATGCTTCTTTTTTATTTCTTTTAGCCGTGGAGGAAGCTAAGATGTTATGGAAATGTGAACTTGATTGGACCGTGAAGTTGTTCTGAAATTATGCTACACTTTTGCCCTTTTGCTGTGCTAATTCTGGATGACGTGCTTTATTGAGCTGCAAATTTTTATGATGCACGGTGTGTGAATGCAGTGACTGCACCTATTGACATTCTACAACATTTTTTATCTTGCAGTTAAGGAACATCCGTAGCATGATCCGCCTCACCAAAGAAAATTTGGAGGCTCTCAATGCCAAGTTTTCAGCCTACCAGCACCCTCCGTCTATGTATATACTGGTGAGTCCTGTTCCCTTTTGTTTTGGATCAGGGCTTAGGGAATCCTTTATATGCGTTGTTATTTATATCGGAAATTTTTTTAGTAGGGACGTGCGTGTTCAGCATATTTTCTTCTGTTAATCTAAATGATCACTAGGGAGTAGAATACTCAATCAGGATGATGTCTTGGAAGGTGGCCTGGTTTTCTCTGGGAAAGGTAAAGTTATGGATATCTGGAATAATTGATGTAATCACAGCAAATGGTATTGTTCCCAGTGTAAAATTTTTGAAGGGACAAAATCAATTCCATAGTGATATCCTGATAAAGTGGGTACACTGAAGGACATCTAGAAAATTTCATAAAATATTGGGCTTTTACGAGGTTTTAAATAATTGATTCGAGCCACATTAGTAATTGTGGCAGGTTGTAGAGACCAAAATGATAATCTCTAAATTAAAATTAACAGAGCAAACACAGAACACACCCCACAAAGAAAAGAAACAACACTCGGAAGCACCGACTATCAACTCTCAATGCCAAGCACTGGAGGCTGACAGTCAGCACTTGGGTGTGCCGTTTTTTTTCTTTCTCAAAAGTGTTCTGTGCTTGCGCTGTTAATTTTAATTTAGAGATATGTACCAACTAGGCCCAAATGAAGTTTTATTGAAGATGATAATCACACAGTTACTCTGCTCCTGCACCGAACATAGCCGAAGGGGACTTTCAACACCAATGCAATTATCAGAACTTGATAATACCTGCCATTAGCGATGGCTCAAGCAGCATGAGAGGACATGTACAGCATGACTGTGCATTTTCATTGATCACCTCCTTGCCCCTACTCAATATGTTCACTCTCTTGCAGAACTATATACATGAAAACAAACCTCTAAACCCAGTTGGGCTAAAGTTATGGTATGTTGAACATTCATGGTTGAAATACTATCTAGATGTTGATTCACTTGCGAATGTTCAACGTACCATAACATTTGTTGATGTTTAAAACCTCTTTCCTTGTTTTATTGCTTGCTGTTCTCCTTCCATATTATTGTGACGTGCTGATTTACCTTGTAACTTTTATTGTTGAGAAAAGGACAAGCCGTCTGTCTCCGTGGGGATGCGCCCCGTCGACATCTTGATGGGAACACATTCATCTTCTCTTAATGGTGATAGTGCCACTCTGTCTTCTAGAGAGTTTTTAACATCCTCAGTGCACCCACGGTGGTGCTTGACGAATAGCATTAATACACCTGGGTTCTAAGCACACACTCTTTTTTCATGAGTACCTGTATCAGGTCCAAGTCAGTCCATGTAAGACAATCCAGGTTTCCTCCTCCTGTGCCTGCTTTTTCAGCGGTGTTCCCGAAGCTTGTTCCGTATGCGGGCTTTTGAGTGTGTCCACTTCAGTCAACCTCTGCTTTTGATGCGGTTTTCACTGCCATAAATATCTGTTACGCAGACTTGTCCCCGAGGTTCGGCAGAAGCTATTTCTGAGGAACCTTTTTCTCGGCTTTCTTTTCTTGGCTGCGTTTACTTTGTAAGCATCAGCTCACTGCGTCCGTCTTTGTCTGGTCTGTTTCATTGGCCTTCGCAAAATTATCTTGGCATTTCACAACTTCATGGAAATAAGCTGCATTGTACACATTCCTGTCACTCGTAAGTTCTGCAGCTTTCTCGAAGAGCACAAGCTCTGAGCAGTAGAAGGGGCTTGCTCCTGTGTCATCATAATCCTTACTCTATTTTTATTTCATCTCTTTTCGCTTGATGAAGTGGCTTTGATATCTTTTTTCCAGGCACATGTATGTGTGAAGTTAAAGGCCGCATGAAATTCGAATTTGTGATCAATGGCGTGCACTCATTGCTTGCACGGGAGCGTATTGGCGAAAGCTCTGAAGCCGTGAAAGGTGTTTTTATACTTTGAGGTTGTTTTTTGTCACTGATCTATGAGATCGTATTCTCTGCAGTGGAAGTGCTCGTCTGTCGGCCGCCAGTGTGTTGCATCATTTGTCGTGAGTTCGAGCTGTCTACATTCTGTGCAACAAGGTTGCTATTGAAGAAGCAGTGGCTAGATGGTAGCACCGTAAACGAAGAGAGTATTTTCGCTTCTACTTCTGTCTTAATCTATTTTCTTATTGTCTCCAAACAAGCCTGCCGAGCCTTTAATACGTCAGTGGTTTTATATTTTGTTCTGAACTTCGCTAAAATAATCTCACACACTTAAACATTAGCTTCTTCCGTCTCTGCTTCTAATTCATTGAAGTCAACCATATCTTCTGTCTCTTTATCAATTCCCTTGACAAGCTCGAACTTGTCTGTGAGGACTTGGTGAATATTCCACAATTCACTTATTTCTGGCTGCTCCAGATGTAGTGAACTTTCAATGCTTGCGATGGCTTGTGTACTTGACTCCGCCTTTCGAACAGGGTCTCCATGATCGGGTAGTGTCAGAAACGTGAAGTTCACTTGCCAGCAGTGTTGTGAGGAAAAGTCGGCATCAATGCAATATTCATCACACTCGTTTTGACCACAAATTTCTGGGCATTGTCGAAATGTGCTCCATGATTTGGATCATGAGTACGATTAGGCCTCGCACATGAGCTTCCCCCAGCGGTGGCTTAAAGGGGCCCTGCAACACTCTTTGAGCATGGTCAGAAAACGCTGCCAATTGGTAGTAGAGGCTCCCGACAACGTGCGAGACAAATACTATAGTGCAGCCCGCGGCCTGGAATTCAGAATTAATTATGAAAGTCAGATAAAAATAGCTTTCTCTTCTCTCGACAAATCGCGAAATTAAGCCCAGTAAGCCCATCTATCAGCCATTGGCTGATTTGAACATGGCACGCTCGGTTGTTACAGAGGTCGCCGCAAGAGGCCGGCACTTGTCCACGCGTGCGTGCCCAATCGCACTGAAAAAGCCGCGTATTCAAAGCAAAAGAAAAAATGGTCGAGGTCACGAGTGACGCTTTTTGTTCGCCCTTCTCATCCTTCCCTGCTCAGCTTCCAGCGATTTCGTCGGGACGAGAGAAGAGAGAATGTGATTGCAGCGTGTGAGAAATCTTTGTAACTCCGCTTGTACTGGACGGATTCTTTAAATTTTTGTGGCGTTCAATTTGTGAGTTAATATGCTATTCCAGTAAACTATTTCATGGTTACTCAAAAAAGTGTTTCAAGGCCCCTTTAATGTAAGTCCTGCACTTGCGGGTAGAATGCGTAAGTCCGCTCGGTCTCACATCTTAAGGCCCTTCCTGCCACCTTGCACGGCACCATAAAATGTTGAATAGAGGTCTGTTTGATGGTAGAGTGGAAAAGAAAAAAAAAAAGTTCAAAGACTCGAATAAAAAACACACCCATGCTAGGCATACGTTCATTTCATAACACCATGCGTGATCTCTCCTCTCGTGCCCTCACTTCTATGACTTTTTTTGTTGACGTACACATTCAACAATACGCTCATGTGTTTAGAAAAAATGTCCTTTAAACAGGGTATGTGATATGTTTGTTAATGTAATAATTGGTTATTGTATTAGAAAAGGTATCGCATATTTGAGGCTCAGTTTACAAGTATATGTGAAATCGGCAAGTTTTCCTAATCATTTAAGAATCTATAAAATGTTTTAAAGTGCACCCTCTCCCCTTAAAAAACACATCAGGTGAAAATTATTCTGAGCTTTCCACTACAACGTCTCCGGTAGCCTGGGGCGTTTTGGTATAGTAGATCCCATTACCAACTAGCCTTTACTGGTGTTTCGATGTGTACAGGAATACCAGGACCTGACGGGGCGCCTGAACGAGTTCCAGTTGCGTGAGCAAACACTGCTGGACCGCATCTGCACCATGAATGGCAACTGTTCACCAGACCATGGGGGGGACACAGACACGGAGGATGCACCCATCAGGGCTTCCCCTCTGACATCGCAACAAACTGCAGGTAACTGCCTCAACACTAGTCAACTGGGACAACACGTGCAAGATTTTTTTCTTTTGCACCATGTAAATTCTGTGCAGCATTAGTAAATATCAGCTATTTCTGCAGTTTGATGTGCTATGCTGGATTTGCACAGGGAGTGCAGTGTTTCAATTGTTTTTCTTCATGCCACTGTTGTGGCAGGCTTTTGTTTTTTTGGTTTTTGAAGTCTGATATATATTTTTTTTTTGTGCAGGGGACAGCACGAAGGATGTGCCGAAATCTCCCATGAAGTCAGTAGTACGGGCATTTTTACCAAACCAGCAAAGAACAACTGTAAGTAGTGCTCTACCAGTGTTCATTCTCTTGTTCGTTTATGATGACTGCAAAAGATGAACTCAGTTATTGGTGTTTTGAATGCAAGAAGAACAGAGATGATTGCTCGAGAAGCTGTGGAGAACTTTTGTGAAATTTGGCCACCTTTGAGGGTCAGTGAAATAAATATGTAGCACCAAGAGTGAATCCCAAATGGCTAATGCCATTGCATCGTTAAAAACGTGCCAATTTGTCAACTTTCTTTGGCGCAGCAAATGCTGCCACGTTTCGAGGTTGCAGGTCATTTTTTTTTTGTTTTTTGTGATTGGTCTTAAGTTTCCATTCCACAGCTTGTTTAAACCAGCCAATTGACTATTGCTCGCACATAAGGACATGTGCTGGACGCATGAATGGAAGTTTGGTCATCTGTCACGAAAGGTCTTTTGGGTTTGTCGTGCTCTCGAAAATTGATCTCCATCTGGCATCTAATCTCTCTAAGGGAAACAGCTCTGCTCTAGCTCAATTATTGCCCACAGTGGTGTGACTTCAGCTGTTCACAGGCAAGCGCTGGTATACAGTAGAACCTCGTTGATACATTCTCGCTTAAGGGGGCAGACTCCTTTTAGACACTTTTTCTTTAATTCTTCAGTGATCTTGATGAAACTGTACAGGCTTGTGCAGTTTTTTCTGTTGATTTCAAATATGAAATTACTTTTCCTGTAAATCATATCATTCCCAAGATAATGCAAGTTCAACCCCCATTGTTTAAGGCCTCGTTAGAAAAAAATGTGCCTAATTAAAAGCAACATTTAACATATGGCAACATAGAATAATGATTGAAGATTAAAATGATGGAAGCAGTTTATTTTATTTGGCTTTTTTAGTTATTTTATGGCAGATTGAATTTTACACTCTGAAAAAGCAGTTGACATGCTATTACAATTGTAATAAATATTTAATTGAAAAAGCTTGTTTTCTAAATGTCATTTCCATACTTGCATTCTAAACACATACAGGTTTGTATTGCAAAAAGAATTATTGTTCTAGCTGCCACAGCAGCCGAGATATTGAGGCCTCAAGATTGAATCCACATTTTAAGAAAAATCAGTCATAAAATTAGTCAAAATTAGTCAAATATTAGTCAATAAATTAGTCAAAGAAAAATCAGTCAAAATTAAGTCATAAATCCACATTTTAAGAAAAATTGCAAAAACAGATAACACACTTTGTACAAAAACAACAATAAGAAAATGCATATTTCACAAAGTAGATACTAATATCCACCTGGAACATAGTCTGACTGGTGCTTAGCACTGCCGTGGCGCTTCTTTAGTGCTTGCTTGAGCTTTTCACTTGAGGCACGCTTGCGGTTTTAGTCAGCCACTCGCCACCTGTCTTTCTCGGTCATTCGTCTGATGCTTGGGAGGCTGGGGTTGAGATTGAGTTCGTCGAGGATGCCTGTTGACGTTCTCAAGTTGCTGCCGTTGAATTTCATTACTGCCTCCGCAACTGCAGCTTCAACCGCAAACAGTGAAGCATGGCGCTGCTTAGGTGCCAAAGCCCAGACAATGGAATGAAGGATTTCATTGCTATTCTGGTTTTTACCTCTTTGGCACCTTTCTAGAAGCCCTTTATCAGACAGGCGCTCATATACTGGCAGAAGAGCCTTGCACACATGTTGAGGCAAATTGTAATGGTGCCTCGGAGAAGGCTCCCCTTTGGCAGCAGCTGCGTTCAGCCTGCACCAAGAGTCTGGGCCTGTGCGACACAGGCTGTGATTTGAATCACTATCATTAGAAGTGACATGATAGTAAGTCGCCATCACAGCTCTGTGCATGGCGTCAACATCTCCTTTGTAAGATTTAAGCGCCCAGCCGTAATAAAAACTCAACTTTGTAATGAGGTCCCCGGTGAGCTTTCCCCTTCCTCCAAGAGTTTCACAGGCACCTCCTTTTTGTCTTGCTACTAAATTGCGTAGGGCAGTGCCCATATGCTTTTGGACGTGATTGACACAATCGTCTTTTGGTACTTTTATGAAGCCGTAGACATCAGCTTTTTGCAAAGCTAGAATGGTGCGGCTGTCACCATCTGACAAAAGTGTCGTGTACTTCAGGCCATTTTTTTAGAGACCTATCAAAGAGGAGCACAGCTGCCTGAACTTTCATACCGCCAGCTTTTTTGTACTAATTTTTTGGCACACGTGGCTGTCCTGCCAAGCCTGATATGCCGGGTCGTCTTCCTCCGGTCCACGCTCACACCTTGCACAGTGGTTACTCAAAACCACGTAGTCCAGCACTAGGCCAGTGAAAAACTTGATCACTGCCCCCACGTATATGTGGGACGAGTGCCCGCACGTCATCCACGAGCCGTCGTACGAGACTGCAATACTGTTGGCATAGTCAATATGCAGCTCCTTGTACAGCTCACGAACTGCACTCGCACACTCGCCCATCACTTTTTCGGCCGCGCGATTAGCCGCAAGTGTCAATTTTCGCTTCACATATCCCTGCCACGTTTTCTTCTGAAGTCCGCGATGAGATATATTCATGGTCGAAAATATATCATTCATAGCCGCTTGACGGTTCCCAGCCTGCATGGCTCGAGCGGCGAGACTATTGACGGTGAACGAATTCACTTTCTGTGCACCATCCAGTCGCGGAGAGCTCCGCGCTTGCGCGATGTCGCCACAGTTCACGCAACGCGCACACATCTTCACGGCAAGGCCGTATTGCCTGTCTTGTCTGTGAATACTGACGTTTCCGTGGCATACTTTACGTTTCATGGCATCGAGCTGTTGACGAATGCAGTCAAGATCGGCGATAAAAAAACTTGCCTCCTCTTCGCTTTGCTTCTCAAATTTTCTCTTCGACGCGGTCGTCGATGCCAACGCGGCCGTCGATGCCAACGCGGCCGTCGATGCCAGTTCCTGCAGCCTTGAATCGGCCTTTGTACGTCTTACCTGCAGCTCCAATTCTGTTAGCAAGGTTATGTCACGGCGGACGCGGCCGCAGCTTTGCAAAGCGTCGGTGGTTAGCAGACCCACTAGGCCCAACTCCCCGTCGACTGTCTCGGGCGCCTCGGCGATTCCTTCGCTGTCAGCGGACGAGATGACCATCGTGGATTCTCAATGTGCGCAGTGTTCATCTGCACATTCCGATTATGGATGTGCCCGCGATGCGTCAGGTTCGGGAACATCGCAGGCTGGCAAGGCCGTCAAGCTTGCGTCGGCGGCATCGGCGGGCGACCCGTCCCGTTCTTCGTTGACGCTACTCGTCAAGAGATGCGCCTTGAAGTTGTTCGCCTGAGCATTTCTTCTTTTTTTTACCGAGCTTATGACGGGTATGAAACTTTCGCGATGATCCCGGCATTGCAACAACTTCGATCGCAAACACACTACTGAAAACACAGGCGGTATGGCGGTACAACACGTTGATCGCGCAAGGTTGACGCGCCGAGCAGACGATGCGAGCCCAATCAGCCAATAAAGTGGCCACCTCATGGTCACGTGCACTCAACAACCAATAGCGTCGCGTACATTGTTTTTTTTTTTTTTCAGCTGCTTTTTTTTCGGCAACCAATTTACGCAGCAAGGTTGTTTGAGCGGGAATCGGAAGATGGAGAAACGCGCTTTCGAACGAGACCAAGATCATGGCTATGGCATTCGGCTAAAGGTAGCTCTGCGTTGCGAAAAAAGTGGTGTTTTTTCATCAGATTCTGCGCAAATCGAGCTCGCGAGTCCTCTTTGTAATGATATAACAAGAAAATAATTGCTTTCTGGAGTCTGGAAATTGGTAGGCAGGTGTAAAAATGCTTGTAGAGTTCAAAAAAGTCATTGAAAAAAAAAACGTTTTTTTCGCGATTTTTCGGTTCCAAAGACCCGTCCCCTTAATACAATTTCCCGGCTCCTACGCTCGAAATCGTGAAAACTAGAAATGCCCCTTTAGATACATTTCGCTTAATACGTTCCTGGAAGATACGATTATTTGGCTGTAATGTATGGCATTGCTGCAAACTGAGGTCGTATGATACGTTCTGCAGGCAACCATTGTTATTCAGGCGTGCCAAAAAATCCCCTCTTGCGTGCTTGTGAAGCACCAAGTGGCAGACTGCCGCCGCACAACGAATTCTTTGCTGTGCTCACTTGTTACCCCCCTCTCCTGCGTCTTCGAATTACACTCAGTGCGAGTCGATTGTCACCTCCGCACTTTTTTAGAACGGCTCGGACGCCCTCTCCATCACTGCCGCAGCTGTCTGTGAACCACACACATATTCGTCTGAGCCGCCCAAGTCTTCAAGCGGTTTTCGAAAAATGCCTTTTGTTTTCTGTAGCACATTGGTTTTTTTTTCTCATTTGGAATCTTGGCATGATTTCGCTGAGAACTGCAAAGCCTTCATTTGTAGCATGGTATGTGAAAATGCGATCGTTCCACTCTACAACCTCCGAGAGAACACTACAGAGCTAATAATATGCACAAGGAATAAATGCGCTGTCGATGCCCTTCAGTTCACCACGCTTCAGCACAAGGCGCACGTGCTACCTCCTCTACAGAACACACAATGCACCGCACACCAACCTTAATGTAGTCGACAAAAGTAAGATTGGTCTAAATTTTTCTTAAGATTGCCGCGATTACTGCAAGATATACAGTTGTGTTTACAAGAGATGTGGCAACATGTGGCCTAATAGTTACCTATAGTTAAAAAGACCAAGAAAGCATTGCGGGTTAATAACGGCAAAAGTTTCAATCTTTACTAGCTTCTGGCTACAGTACAGAGAGGCCGCGAAGGTAGTACTAATAAAATACGTTTGAAACAAGTAAATGCATGTATTGCCAATGGTTTACTAACTTATTTAAAGATTGTGATGACCATGCAAATACCATCGGTAGTGGGAGAACTGCCCCTATGGGAACTAATAGTGCAGTCGTACTGCTTGAGATAAGCCAGCAAGCTACTATCCCTCGACCATGGCAATGCATTTAGCGTAGTTAGGAAGTTTTTCTGCATCTCATGACATCAGC